AATATAAATATTTGATAGTTTATGAATTTGACCACTTATGATATGCTATGTTATTCAATGTACTTTACTATATCAATGGTATATTTATATTATTTTATACTATAACCAAGAGCTTCTTCCTCTCGTCTTCTTTCAATCGGTGATGACACCACCTGTCTTCCTTGCATCACATTCCTTTCTTCTACAGAGCCGCTCGAAGCCTCCTTTGGCTTTGTCGTCCTCGCCGAGCCCTAGTGTCATGCTTCCTCTGCTTGACGACGTCATTGTCATTTGCCGCCACCGCCTTAAGCTTCGATTGATGCTCATGGAAGCCCTAGCTTGCACCCGTCATTCTCATGCCTTTGTACGCACCTTTCAACTCTCAAAGTAGGTCATCTCTCATTCGTCTCGCGTTGGTTTATAAAACGAAGTACCTTTTGTTTTTTGACTTGTTCGCTTCCTCTACCTCTTTGGCTCTCTCGAGGATATGAAATGAGGCCCCACAATCTTCCCTACTTGTAAAAATTTCATCCTTGAAATTTATAACAAATTACAAGTCATCTCTCATTAAGTAAGGTTAACGTGAACTACTTACAAAATTCATGATGAAAACTAGGAGTCATTCATTAATATGAAACGTAATCATTGTAAAGTAAAGATATGATGCAAGAAGACTCAACTAGGGTCTCCTCATTAATAAAATTAGGATAACAACATATGTAAAATAACACATAGTTACTGGAGCAAGAAGTATGTTAGGAAAACAACCTTATATGTAAGAAGACATCGAACCCATCAGACTTTATCAACATAAATAGTAGCAGGTTCTTCAGGCTCACTATGAGTAAGGGAATAAACTCAAGGTTGAATAGGTTATCTTGGTTGAACTTCTATAGGAGTTGAAGCAATAGACTCTATCATTCTCTACCCACCTGCAATCTTCTGTGATAGAGCTCATCTGAGTTATGATCTTCAGTGCTCTTTTGGCCAAATTATGGACTATATCTTGATATATGACCAAACTAACTACACCAGTGGATGTGTTAGAGTTCATCAAACATTCTACCTTATGCTGTCTTCCGCATTTGACATAAGAGACTACGGTTGTCAGATTCGTAACTCTGTTAAATCCACCTGAGTTTTATTTGGACTTTTCATTAGATCCCTCTAATAAATTTTCCTAAATTTGTTTTTAAGCATATAGGGGCACAAAACACTCCCCGGATAGCTCCACTAACTCTCTTAACTTACCATCATGTTAAATATGTACCCTAATTTGTCCTGACGCTGCCCACGCTATCACCTTTCACCTTTTTCATCTAGCATAAATGTAGCTAATGACACTCTTCTTTCATCTGGATTGTCCTTTCTATCTAATATCTTCTCAATTTGCATGAGCAAGTTCCCTGCTTCAATTTGCTCCACCACCTTTTAGCTTTTTCGTCTAGCATAAATGTAGCTAACAACACTCTTCGTTTATTCGGATAGGTCATTCTATCTAATATCTTCTCAATTGACATCAACTAATTCCCTGCTTGAATCTATTCTTAAGTTCCAAACAATGGTGGATGCAGATCTTGGAATATCTTTAAATATTTATTCATAGGAACTGTATCCCTTCCAATAGACTGTGATTTAGACTCTTGAATCAGCTGAGTCATGGCCACCATCATCTGGGTTAGGACATTTGTGCTCAAATTTCTAGTAGACTGCACTTCATCATTTCCCATCGCTCCCTTCTATAGTTTTCATTTTACTCTATGCATAGATGAATATAATTACTAAATTGAATTATCTTAAAATTTTAATTAATTTTATTATTATTATTATTATTATTAAAAATTTCTTATAATTACTTAATTGACTCTTTCATCAAGATTATTTTAATTAATCCTAAAGCTTGTCTTTGACATTACTTTTGTCACGACCTGACCCGGGGATTGTAATTAACCAAGACAGATACAGACAGTAAGACAATGAAAACTAAATTTATTATATTTGTTTTCTGTAACTAACTTTTAACAAACAAATGTGCTACTAAAGAAATTAAATTAATGTCGTACAATTAAATTTACCTCATTACATGTTCAAGTCTTTTATAAACATTTTTTCTTCTAATGCTCATCTTTTGATCGATTAATTACACCTAAAAAACTACTTTAAACAACAGTGAGGTAAACAAAGCAGTGAATAATCACACTCCTAAACTACAATAATATAAGAAAAAACAAAACATGCATATCAGTTAAGTTTTTAATTAATCTGTATAAAATTTTGATAGTTTATGAATATGATCACTTATGATATTTCATGTGTTTTATTATTTCTATAACATGTCTATATCTTTTTATGTCTGTACAACCGTCACAAGAACACCATAAAAAAATTGTACATGTTTAGGTACTTCAATATCAATCTCATTTTCCATTTACATCCACAAGTATCTTAGTGCTCCCCGCTAATACCATAAATAGATAAACTCCATCATAATTCATCATGAACATACAAATATATATATATATATATATATATAT